TGGCGGGGAGAAACGCCTTTGAAGTCTGGAAAGTTCGCATTGAAAAAAAATTAGTATCTCTGATTCACAGATCCACTGGGACTAGTCTGAAACAGATTTTTTTTTTTTTTGTCTTTTTGAGACAGGGTCTCGCTATGCAGTTCAGGCTGGCCTTGAGCTCACTTTGTAGCCCAGGCTGGTCTCGAACTCATGACGATCCTCCTGCCTCAGCCTCCCTAGTGCTGGGATTACAAGTGTGCGCTGCCACACCCTGCTAAACACTACTTTTAAAGATACGTTGTTTTAAGGATGTCATTAGGAGTAATTACTTATTTCTTGTAGTAAGAACTGATAAGGAATAGAATTAATATCTAACTTTAGTCCTTTGGATGACTATGCTAGCGTTTATAAGAAGAGAATTTTACTTAAGCTGATTTTTGACTTGTGTTTGTGATAGAATCAACAACATATTTCTCTAGCTATTTTGAAAACTCAGTTGTCAGTTCTGTTCAGTGCAAAAGGGTACTGGTCTGAAGTAGTTTTCTAAAATGTTCACAGAATAGAGAGAAGTATATATTTTAATCTGCTCTGCATGTCAAGTTTTCAGAAGCCCCATTTCAGCCCACTCAGTACGCACCATTGAAACCCACGTTCTGCCATTGCCATCTCCCACCTGCCCCCGCTTAGCCTCTGTTTTTTGTTTTGTTTTTTTTGTTTTTCTCCGGTACCGGGAACCGAACTCACGACCTTGCGCTTGCCAGGCAGGCGCTTTTGCCGCTGAGCTAAATCCCCAGCCCCACCCGCTTAGCCTCTGTACTCTTTGAAGTCTGTAAGGCAGAAGAACCTGGAGTCCTGTCTGCATCAAACTACCTTTTCCCATAACTAGTCTTGAACAGTCTGTAAAAGGAATATGAAAGAGAGGAACACGTGCCTTTTAAGCTAATTGCCTCCTATTTCAGCCCACTTCCATATTTTTATAACCTTTATTTATATTTAAAGATAAATATTCATTTACTTAGAATTTAAAGCATTTCTAGTAACGATATACATATTACATTGCCATCTTAAAATGGTGGGACTGGTCCAAGTGCTTGTGTTTACAGCTAATTGATCATAGCCAGTTACAGATTTCTTTATTCCTTCTCTTCTCCCACGGCTTCACTTGACTTAAAAAACTGGACAGTGGTGTATACATTTCTTGGTTTTTATTTTTATTTTGAAATTGTACATGCACATAATTCATAGGGTCAAATACTTGTACAAGATTGTTCCAGAATAGAGTAATCCTCTGCCTCCTTCATTCTCCGCAGACTTGAGACAGCCACTTTGAACTCTTAATTCTCTTTTTCCCTAAGCAGGTTAATTGGGCATTTCTTGATCTTCCAGTTTTAAGTAGTGACTGTTGTTTTCCCCTTATAGAATATGATAATTTAGTCATCATTTATTGAACTGTTCTTCCCGCACCTCTCCCCCATCTCACACATCGATTGTTCTCTGCCCACAAGTATTGTTATTCCATAATTGTATTAGTTGGTTTTGTTTTGTTTTCTTTTTGTACTGGGAATTGAACTCATGACCTTGCACTTGCTAGGCAGGCGTTTGTGCTGCTAAGCTATATCCCCAGCCCTGTGTTAGATCTTTTTATTCACTGAATTTTGTGTACAGGAGAGGTGGGGGGTGGTACTTGGTATTGAACCCAGGGCCTTCACCCTGAGCTACAGCTCAAGCCCTTTTATTGTGAGACACAGTCTCAACTAAGTTGCTGTGTTGCCCAGGCTTGGCTTGAACTTGTGATCCTCCTGCCTCAGCTTTCCAGAGGGCTGGGATTACAAGCATGCACCCCTATGCCAGACTCACTGAGCTTCTTGAATCTCTGAATTTATGTCTTTGACCATGTTTGGGAAGGTTTGAACTGTTTCTAGTAGAAAGTTTGAGATTATTTCTTTAGAGAACTGTAGGTTGTGTAAGTCACTTCATGGTCCTATGCATCAGATAGTGTGTCACTTTAATCTCCTGGACAAACTTGTCCCAGAGTCCTCTGTCCTGCTTGTCTGGTATACGGCTCATATCCTAGGATCCTCCTTCTGTACCAGTCTGGATATCCCCTTTGCCTTTCTCTTGAGTTGGTTCCGGTACCTCGTCTCTTCTTGATCTCTTGTTTTGATATGATGTGTTCTCCAGTAACTTCTAAACAAAATGAGCATGGTATGTATCATTTTTGAGACTACATGTCTGAAAATTTGTTTTCCTGTCACATTTGACTAATAGCTTGGCTGGGTTTAGTTATTGCTTCATTGTCTTCTGACTTCCAGTGGTGCTTTTAAAAGTCTAAAGTAATTCTAATTCCTCAACATTTGTATGTGTAGTTTCTTTTTGTTTTGTTTTTATTTTGCTTATTTATTTATTTATTGGTTCTGGGGACCAAACCCAGGGCCCTGGCACATGCTAGGCAAGACTACCTTTAAGCTACAACCCCATCCTTGTTTTTTTTTTTTTTCGTCTTTTGTTTTTAAATCTCTTCCTATGTAGTGTGTTTCTGTGTGTGTGTGTGTGTGTGTGTGTGTGTGTGTGTGTGTAGAGAGAGAGAGAGACAGACAGACACAGAAACAGAGACATAGGTACAGACCTATAGATGTGGCTAGTCTCCAGTTTTCACGCTAAAGGCTTTCCTCCATCCTGATGATCTTTGGTTGTCTGTTCATATTTCAGAATTAGGCACTGAAAACTGATGGAAAACTCTGAATGTGTGATGGGATTTTCCATTCTCTGGGAATTCTGACCCAATCCAAGAAAACTGATCTAGTGATTTGTTGTTGGGAGTGGGGAATTTTCCCAATGAAACAGCCCAGTTAGATTCTATCTACCTATTTATAGCTTTTAAGGAGCTATGAATCATTGCCTGAAAGCCTGGCCTTAATTTTTAACTTGGAATTTTTTACTCTAATGAAGACTCTACCTAATTTCGTTAAATATTTGAGTGCTGTGGGAGAGTCAGTGTTTAAAAAGCAGTCACCGCTGCCCTACATCCTTCCCATTCTGCTGGTTTACATTTCCCTGGGATCACTCAGGTGAGCTCTGGGTGGACCAGGCTGAACTGGGTCCTGTGTCGTCAGCGTTGTTGCTCTTGTGGCACTGAGGATAGAGCTCAGGGTCGTGGCGCATGCTCTTCCACTGAGCTATACACCCCAACCCTTTTTAAAAGCTTTACTTTAGATAGGGTCTCATCAGGTAGCCCAAGCTGTCCTCAGACTTGCACTCCTCCTGCCTCAGCCTCCCAAGCAGCCAGAATTGCAGGTGTGTGCCATCCTGTACAGTCAGTTCTTAGGAGGTACTCGTCCATTAGCTTGGCTGTGCCTGCGTCCCACTGGGAGCAGATTGCTTGACTTGGTCACCTCTGCTCTTCAGCCTGCGGCTTCAGTTTGGGATGATGTCTTTCAGTTTGATCCGATTTGCCTCCAGGGGGAGACAGAAGTGAACTGTTCAAAGAAATCTGTTGAGTAGTAGTGGGTCATATTGGCATCAGAGATCATTCATTCACTAGTAGACGTGGTAGGTCCTGTGGGTTCATCTAGCCCAGACACTTGGTTAGAGTCTAATTTGAGCCGGGTTGGTTAATACAGGTTTGGAGATGTAGTATTTATTCACTGTCTTTATCATCGTTCATTCAGTATGTCTCATTCATCTATTTACCTGACATTTTTCAAGACTCTTGGGACGTAGAGACGCACAGTCACTAGGAGAGATAGGTATCTCAAATAACTTTAACGATTGGGTCAGTCCTGAGCTGGAAGCGGGTGTGCGTGGTGCTGAGAGTGCAGCGGGAAAGTGTCCTGACTGCTGGGAAGTGAGGAGGAAGGAGGGCCCAGGGAGATACTCACGTCCACAGCATCTCAAGCTGTTTCATCTTCCCTGCAAACTCTTTGACATTCTACCAAAAAACAGAGGAGTCTTAAACTGCAAAATCTTACTTGGGAGACTGAGGTAGGAGGATGGCAAGTTCAAGCCCAGCCTAGGGGGCTTAGCGATTTAGCAAGACCCTGTCTCAAAGTGAAAAATATTTTAAAAGGAGTTGAGGATGTAGCTCAGTCTGAAAGCCCTGAATTCAGTCCCCAAGACCACAAAAGAAAGAAGCAGTAGGCAGTTGGGACGTACTTCAGTGGTAGAGCACCCCTGGGTTCAGTCCCCAGTGCCACACACAAATAAATCAGAGCAGATTCTACAAATACTTTATCCCAGATAACCCCAGATTTATTAATTTTTGATGACAAATGACTATGTAAAAATATTTTTTTAAGCCAAGCCTGGTGATGCACACCTGTAATCCTAGCACTTGGGAGGCTGAGGCAAGAGGATCACTATGAGTTTGAGGCCAGCCTGGGTTACATAGTGACACCCTGTTTCAAAAAAATAATTTAAAAAGGTTTTTTTACGTATTGTATATAAAATAATCTGTGGGAAGTTGTTTAATCTGTCTCATTAAATGGCATCCTTTATTCGCCTGCTGGGAATTAATAGGGTAACTAAGTGGTCAACCTAGGGAATACACAGTTAGGATTTTTAGTTATTTCATCACTAGTATAACTCATGATACAAAAAGTAACTTTTTAGAAAAACTTCGTATTTTAAAATGGCAAGTCTTGAAAGTGACAGTGGAATTAGAGACTGCCAATGAGTAGGTAGCACAGATACTTTTGGGTTGTTTTAACCAAAAAATAAAACCATGTACATACATCAAATATTCACTTTTCATAAGCTTTGGATTGAGTAAAAAGACATGCTGAGATTCAGCAAAGTGTTAAATTCTGCCAAAGCTTCAAAATAATGGACTAGTTTGATCACTCAGTACAAGTAAGTCAGAAGTCTTTTCGATTTATATGTAGAAAAGGCCCTTTCCTGAAAAGTGGGCTCAAAGGCAGCCTGAACTGCATAGCGAGACCCTGTCTCAAAAAGACCAAAAAAAAAGGGCCCTTTCCCTAAGGTTCATGATCACATCAGTGCCTGTGATCCAAATTGCTGCGTCAAATGCTACCAGAAAAAGCTTTCACTTGCCATTTGATCACGTCTTTATTTTGCTGAGACTGGAGTTTGAAGTGATAATAGGTGAATAAATACAGGAAAAGGCAGTAAACAAATTGTTCTGTGGAGTCGTTCACACAGAAAACAGAACCTAAGATTTCCAGTAAACTTATTTGTGTAAAATTAGTTTTGTTTTTTTTTTTTTGAGACAGGGTCTTGCTGAGTTGCCCCTTTTGGTCTCAAACTTGCAATGGTCCTGCCTCAGCTTCTCAGAGTTCTGGGATTACAGGCATGCACCACCACGCTTGGCTCTGATTTTATTATTTGAAGGCATTCATTTACTGTGCTGGCTTACACTCACTGTACTGCATCTTTTCACATTTTTCAGTGTCTCAGTAGCATTATGTAACAGTTTTTCTTAGGATTAATAGGCATTTAGCCACAGTTGTATTAAAAGGATTTATGGCATAAAACTTGTATAGAGCATATTTCTTTTATATGGTACTTTCAAAAGTAATTACCAGAAAGTATTCTCAATTTAATTAAAGAGTCACAGTTAAGTGAGGCCCGGTGGCACTCACCTATAGTCCCAGCTATTCTGAAAGCTGAGGCAGGAGGATCAAAAGTTTGAGGCCAGCCTGGACATTTTAGCAAGACCCTATCTCAAAATAAAAAATAGAAGGGGCTGAAGATGTAGCTCAGTGGTAGAGTGCTTGCCGCTCATGCATGAGGCCCCAGGTTCAGTCCCCAGCACTGCAGAAGACTTAGAGGATCTTTCTTAGGCCATTTTAGATTCTTTATTTTTTCCTTGTAGTACTAGGGATGGAACCTTGGGCCTGCATTCATATGGGCTACTTCCCCGGCCCCTTTTTTTACTTTTTATTTTGAGACGTCTCACTGCGTTCCCCGGGCTGGCTAGAATTTGTGATCCGCCTGCCTCAGCCCCCCGAGTGCCAGGATTATAGGCGTGTGCCACCATGCCTGGCTGCTGAGAAAGTGAGATTTCTTTAGTGATCTAGTAACTGACGGGCTTCTGATCCTTAGTCATTACACATCTGCTGGATTAAAAGACACTTCTTCTTAGCTGTATAATTTGAATATTTGGATAGTTAATGTCTTCCCCTCACTGAGCCGGAGCTCTCTGGGAGGGAGCTCATGTCTGTGTTCTTCGGTGCTTGGCACGGAGGCAGTGCGCAGTACACGTCGAATAAATAAAGGTGAACAAATAAGTTTCTTAGGAACTGCATGGATTTTGTGAAATTTAAACATGCGTACAATCCTGGATTGTATGACTAGCCATCTTTATTGCATTTTTACAGATTGCCAGTCACAGTGGCTATGTTCAGATCGACTGGAAGAGAGTTGAAAAAGATGTAAACAAAGCAAAAAGACAAATTAAGAAACGAGCAAATAAAGCAGCACCTGAAATCAACAATGTAATCGAAGAAGTAAGGCAATACACAGATTGGGCTCCTTTTTTGTGTTACTTATTCTCAGTAGAAAATGTGCCGAGAGGTTACCTTTTTTAAAAATTGTGGTTTTTGTCATCTATCCAGAATGTTAGGTAAAAATGGTTAAACTATCGTTTAAGTCAGGCATTTTTTGTTTTTAGTGGTAAACACGGATGCCTACACCTTTCTCCCTCCCATTTTAATCTGCCGGTAACATTATTCTTCCAAGATTTTTTCTTTTTACTTTTATGAATGTAGAGTATATACATTAGATATAGTAGAAGTCCTCATTTTTCTTGAGATAGAATAGTTTGAAAATATTAATGTGATATATTCATTTTATTAACATTTTATGTGTATTTTCTTTTTCTTTTCTTCTTTTTTTTTGCCTTTGCTTTTTTGTCCTTTTACCTCTTCCAACTTTTTATTTTGAGAATTTTTAAGTGAACTGAAAAGTTGAAAGACAAAATGAATGCCCAGTCACCCTTCACCTTTTACCAGATTTTTCCTTTTTTGGTACATTTGCTTTGTCTATGTGTAGAAGATTTACATCTTTTTTTTCTTTCTTTTTTGACAAGTTTTGTGTGCCATGATCTTGCCCCTAAAAACTTCAGCATCTATGTCCTCACAGTATAGATGTTCTTCTATAGAACTACAAATACCATTATTGATCCAAAAATTTTAACATAGTACAATAATATTTTCTACTTTGCAGTTCATATTAAAATTTTTCCTCACAGGCCAGGTGTGGTGGCCTGTAACCTCAGCGATCGGGAGGCTGAGGCAGGAGGATTTCTGTGAGTTTGAGGCCAGCCTGAACTGCATAGTGATACCCTGTCTCAAAAAGACAAAAAGAAAGAAAAAAATTTTTCCATACAGTATTTTATGACTTTTTTCCCCAGTCAAAAATTGTGTGTTGCATTTGGTTGTCCTGTCTCTAGAGTTTGCAGTAGTCTTCAGTAGTCCACTCGTCTGGCTTTTGTTTGGGGGATTTTTTTCTTTCCATCCTTTGTGGTACTGACAGTTTTGAAGCATCAGACAAAACATCCCACAGTCTGGCTTTTCCCAGTAGCTTCTTCATGATTGTCTTTGGTTAATCATTTTGTCAAAGTGATTTTTTTTTTAAATCTTGTGCGTTTGTTTCTTACTGGCTAAATGGAGACTATTAATAATATCATTGTGCCTGCGATGGCAATTTATGAAAGAATCTGTGTTAAGAGCTTGATGAATTGACCATTTCTTTTTCCCTATGATACCATTGCTGCCCAGACACCTGTTACTTCAATAGCCAAGGAGCTTGTGGGGCCTGGCTGTGGGCTCTAAGTTCCCTTAGCTGTAATCCATAGTTCTGGGATTTTGCATTGTGTTTGGCACCAGCAATTGCAGGAACACAGGAACTGTTCCTGAATATTTATTGAATTAAAATAGCTAGGAATATTGCCAGCCATCAGGGTGCACACCTATATTCCCAAGACTTGGAAGGCTGAGGCAGGAGAATCTTCACAAGTCTAAGACCATCTTAAACTACTTAGCAAGACCCTATCTCAAAAAAAAAAAAAAAAAAAAAAAAATTAAGAATGTTACTTAGCTAGGCATGGTAGCACATGCCTGTAATGACAGCACTTGGGAGGCTGAGGCAGGAGGATTGCTGCAAGTTTGAGGCCAGCCTGGGCTACATAGTGAGTTCAAGGCCAGCCTGAACTACATCATGAGACCTTGTCTCAAAAAAAAGAAGAAAAAAAAAGAGTCTTACTTATTTTGATTCAATAAAAAGTATTTCTAAAATTTTGCATCTTTTTTGTGGTAAAATACCTGTAATAGAAAACCATTTTAACCCTTTTACATGTACAATTCAGTGGCATTTAAGTGCAGTTACACCCCAGCCCCTTTCTTATTTTGAAGTAAAGTCTCACTGAGTTGCTAAGTCACCAAGCTGAACTCAAACTTTTGATCCTCCTGCCTCAGCCTCCCAGAGGGCTGGGATTACAGACATGCTGCACCCAGCTCATTCACACTTTCGTGCAGTCCTTGCTACCATCCATTTGCAGAACTTTTTTCATTTCGGATGAAGTCTGTTCACATTAAATCATAATTCCTACCATTTCCGCCTCACCCCCACCCTTCATAACCTCCATTCTTCTTTCTGTGAATTAAGTAGAATCATACGTTTGTCCTTTTGTTACTTTGTTTGTTTGGTTTTTGGTACCAGGAATCAAAGTCGGGACCTGGCGCTTGCCAGGCAGACATTGGGCCACTGAGCTAGATCCCTGGCCGCATTTATCCTTTTTTGTCTGTCTTCATTCAACATGTTTTGAGGGTTCGTCCATATTGTAGCAAAATAAAGGGTATTTTTGTTTAAATCTACTTTGTTTTTCAGGCAACCGAATTTATCAAACAGAACATTGTGATATCCAGTGGATTTGTGGGAGGGTTTTTGCTCGGCCTTGCATCCTAAGGACATGAACGACCCTTCCTAGGGGATCCAACTGTGAGAAGAGAGCGGCAGCAGGGTGACCTCTCAGCAACACAAGCCGCCGGAGGCTCCCGAGAAGGGGAGACAACTTGCTGGACAGTCCCCAATTCACAACTTCGCATTTTGCCATCTGAAGCTTGGCAAACAAGTATCTGCTGTCCAACAACCTGTGTGGTATTTGAATAATAGTATTCTTGAGCAAAACATGGCTTTTGGCATTTTTTTTTAAAAATTGCATCTGTTTAGAAACTAGCAGTAAGATACCACTGTTAGATATGGATATGAGAAAAGAATCTGTTGGCTGTATCTCACAGTGAAACATTATCCTTTTTTATTTAAATGAGATGTTCATTGTGCTTTGTACTGATGTTCCAGTACAGTGCCGATAGTCAAAACCGTGTCTCATAGCTTCAGTAGTAGGGCTGACTTTTCTCTAAGATACGTTTGCAGTAAATGTGAAGAGTTGCAATGCCCTTTTGTGGGAGGCGTTAGAAATAAGAGAATTATTAAAGATACTAAATAGATTCTGCTGATGTAATACCAGTCCTTAGGTTATTTTCTCTGCATTTCTTCCCTGCACTGCTTTTCAAAAAAGGCTCTTCTAAGGAAATACTACAACATGTCTAAAGCTCTTTTTCCTTTTTTGACATCTGTAGTTTTAAAAATATCTTCTCGTATGTTACCTTCTAATTTTTGTATTTGTTTATCCTGGCAGCCTGGGCAGAACTAATTTTGGGTGTACATATAGTTGGGTCATTGATTCATTTTATTAACTCTGAAAGTACATCTTTTTTAAAACTCCTAGTTATTATTTTGGCCTCTCCATACTGTCTGAAGAATTGACTTTCTATGTAATCATGAAATTGTACCGAAAGAGATTGTCTCCCTGACCGAGTCTAAGATTAAGAACTATGGCTTCCAGGCTTTTGGCAGCGTTGTGTTTCCTGAACACTAGGCCAACTTACCTGTTTTTCGGGGCCAGCATCATACCCTGTCAGTCTTTTCCCCCCAAACCTTTCCGGAGTGTTAATGTTGTCCATAGAATTCTAGGTTGCAATGGAGAAAGACAGCCGAACAGCGTGGATTGGTGTGTTCAGATTGGAAAGACTGCAGATACTGTATCGAGACCATCTTCGTTTGCTGGGAGGTCTCCATAGCGCGTATACTGTGTGTGTTATAGACATGTGACGCTTCATACTTGGAAGATTGGTTACAGGCTTTTTGCTTTTATTTTCCTGAGCCTCCTTAAAATTGAATGTGAGATCCATCTTTCATTTCTTCTTTTGTTCTCATAGTGCCTCAGATATAATGCTAAATAAACCTTTCTTAATATGAAGTAACTTTGCTTATGAAACCTGTTTGTCCTTCTTTGTGCATTTCTGTGTTTGCACCCTGCCAAGCTTTTCACTAGTGTGGAGGACCGAGGGGCAGATACTCGGGAGTGAGGTCAGGTCATGTCAGGTGGAGCCATGGCCGTCTTCCGTGTGCCACACCTATGTGATCTGATGCAGGGAGACAGGCTCTTTTAGAGCCCGCCGGTAGCTGGCTCACTTGGTTCATCTTGAAAAGTATTTCTAGTGTCTGTTCTTTGCATGAGACCCTAGGAAAGTGGGGAACACAAAAGTGCCTGCCCTCAGCTTTTCAACTAAATAGACACTAAAATATTCCTACATGAAGAATTGAAGGGCTAGGAGTGTAGCTCAGTGGGGAGCCCGGCTTCAGGCCCCAGCACCACGCAAAGAAAGGGAGGGAGGGAAGGAGGGAGCTAGAAGCGAGGGGAAGGAGGAGGAGGGAGGCGAACTGAGAACGATGCGGGAGGACCTGGCGGATGGCTCACGTGACTCACTGGTAAATGGTGGAGATAACCACTTCAAGAGTCCATATATCCAGATGGAATCAAACCCCAGCTCTTCACTTCTACCGTACATTATTTTTCGCTTTAGAGGTTTTTGTTCATTTGTTTTTGCTTTTGTGGTGCAGGAATGGAACCCAGGACCTCACAGATGCCGGGCAAGTGCTATGCCGCTGACACGCACCCCTAGCCCACCTACCCCTGCATTTCTCAGTATCTGGTGATACTTGAAAATACGTGTGTGTACTTGCCAAACAGCGCCGGTACTCTCGCTACTGTCCTGTCCATCTGCTGCACGCCTGTGCGTCTCCCGCTAGGCCGACACCGCGCCGCAGCCGTGTGTTGGCAGCCTCTCTTCTAGAGCGCATAGTGCAGGCGGCGCTTCCCGTATCTGAAGTGCTCAGGACCGCAGTGTTTGAGTTTCAGTTCTTCCAGATTATGGAATATTTGCATATACATAATGAGAATCTTGGGGGTGGGACCCAAATCTAAACACGAAGTTCATTTATATTTTATACACACTGTACACACCTAGCCTTGAGGTAATTTTATGTAATTATATACATGAAACAGTTTGTGCGTTACAGGTAAGGAGGCTGCGCGAGGCTCTTTCCTCCTCGGGGATGCTGGATAAATGTTGCTGATCTGCGCTCTGACCATGACTCATCCCAGGAGGTGAGGTGTGTAATTCTCTATTTGTGGCATCGTGTGGGCGACCAAGAAGTCCCGAGTTGGGAGTTTTGGGTTATGGATGCTTTGCTCTCCATAGACATTCGGTTCGTGTATGACTGAATCCGTGAAATGCATTGCTGTGCTGGATGTCGGGGCTGCCAGGAGGAAGGAGACCTCTTCCCCGTGGAGCACACCAGTGAATCGAGGCCCACCCGGAAGGAGCTCGTGGCGCGTGGTTGCAGAGAAGAGGTTAGTTTAATGTCTCAGGGCATGAAGGCTGTTTGCAAGATTTATTAAAACTGGACTGTATGGAACATAGCCGTTTTTGTGGTTTAGGCATTGGAAGATATATAGGATATATATTTTGACTGATTTTTATTTTTTATTCGTACAGTTCTCCCTATCCATCTTCACAAAAGTGTATGATTGCAGTGCTTTTCGTATTTCAAATACAAGTGAAATATGTTCTTGTTTTTAAATATGTTCTTTATAGAAAAATAAATCAGTGTAACGATTTCCTTTATTTTTTTTTCCTTTATTAGTTTATACTTTAGGGCAGTGATGGCGAACCTTTTAGAGCGTTCAGTGATACAAACAGCCCACTGTGGCACGCATGCTGTAGTTTTGCTACCACTGCTTTAGGGGTTGGAAATTGTCTTGGTTACTTTTTTCTCACTGCTAGGACAAGATACCTGATGCCCAAAATTAAGGAAGGAAAGGTTTATTCAGCTTACAGTTCATGGAGGTTTCAGTCTGTACTTGGCAGATTATAAGGCAGAGTGGCACATGGCAGAGGGCTGCAGCTCAGGGCGGCAGAACACAGCAAAGCCGCAAGCACACACCAGGGCGGAATCGGGGAGGAATGGCCTCAAGCAGCTTCTTCCTCTCCCTTACATATGCAAACTATCCACCCCAGGGCGGGTGTAGCTCTCACGCCCACAAGTAGTCAAACACTAAAAGCCTGCCCCATGGCCGCTTGAGGCTTTGGGGGGACACACAGATTCAAGCCATAACATTCCACCCCTAGACCCCCAAAGACTCATGCCCATCCCTTTATACAAAGAGCATTTAGTTCATCTGCAAGAGTTGCCAAAGTCCTAACAGTTTTAACATTGCTGAAAGGTCCAAGTCCCAAGTCTCCTCCGAGATGTAAGGCAAACTCTTAGCTGTGAGCCCCTTTACAAATGAAAAGTTAAACACTTCCAACATTAAATGGCACAAAATAAGCAGTACCATTCCAAAAGGTACAAATGGGGGTACAGAGCATTGGGACCAAAGCAAGTCCAAAATGTAGCAGGGCTAACGTTATGTCCTGTAGTTCCATGTGTGGCATCTGAAGCAACTTGTGGCACACTGTGAGCTCCAAAGGGCTTGCATGAGTCCACCCCTGTGGCATTTCTGGTGGTTACAGCTTCCACGACTTCTCTCTTAGGCCTGCTTTGCTCCCTCCGGGCAGTTTTCCTTAGACGATCCACGGTCCTGGCTTTTCTAAACTTCAGAGGTCTCCAGGGCACCTTTTGCTTCACACTCACAGCCTCACACACTGCCCTCTCAGGGGCACACTGCCTGGCCGCCCAGGCTTTCTGAAATCTGGGTGGAAGCCTCTTAAACCTCAGAACTCCTGCATTCTCCATGCGCTTAAAGCCAGGGCCACGTGGATGATGCCAAGGTCTGCTGCCACCTGGAGCAGTAGCCAAGCTTTCCTCTCTCTTGGCCACAGGGGTCGAGTGCCTGGATCGCTGGGCACTCTGAATCCAATTCTGAGGAGCAGATTTTCTATGCTGCCGCCATTCTGGAACCTGGGGCGGCCACTGCCGCCATTCTGGAACATGGCGCTCAACAGCTTTCTCCTCAAGGCAAGGTCTTTCACCTTTGCAGTTTTGAGGCTGCAAAGGGTGGAGACTTGCTGCTTCTTGTGATGCCCTTAGGCCATCTTTTCTATTCTCCTGTTCCTTTTCAGGAATGGAGATCTCCTCAGCTCCACCTTTGCAGTCCACAGCATTACTGCAGCTTCCTTTCTGGTCAAACTCACAACATTTTAAATCATCCTGCTGGGCTCTTTGTTCTTGATTCTCAATATAAATCTGGCTAAAAGCTCCCAACAATAGCCATGCCACTGCCCCAACATTCGACTGCCTTGAAATTTCTTTTGCCAGATTAATCAGTCCGCTGCCGCCCTTAATCTCAGTCTTAGGCAAAGTCTCTGGACACGAGCAAAATGCAGACAAACTTTCTGCCAAGCCATAACACACATCATCTGGAGTCCAACAACCAATGCAGTCCTTCTTCCCAACAGAAACCTCCCGAACCCGGTCTTTACCGGCAAGATTTCTGTCAGCTTTCTGGTCTTCTGAGCTCTGACCAGAATCTCCCAGGCAGAACAGCCAAAGTCGTTCTAGCGCTTCTCTTTCAGGCGACATCTCCAAACCTTTCCAAACACTCCCCACAAGCCATTTCCAAAGGCTCTTGAACCACATGGTCAGGTATAGTCACAGCAACGACCCCACTCTTCTGGTACCAAATTCTGTCTTGGTTACTTTTCTCTCGCTGCTGGGACAAAATACCTGACGCCCAAAATTAGGGAAGGAAAGGTTTATTTCGCTTACAGTTCGTGGAAGTTTCAGTCTGTACTTGGCAGATTATAAGGCAGGGTGGCACGTGGCAAAGAGCTACAGCTCAGGGCGGCAGAACACAGCAAAGCCGCAAGCACACACCAGGGCGGAATGGGGGAGGAATGGCCTCAAGCAGCTTCTTCCTCTCCCTTACATATGCAAACTATCCACCCCAGGGTGAGTGCAGCTCTCACACCCCTAATCAATCAAACTTTAAAAGCCTGCCCCATGGCCGCCTGAGGCTTTGGGGGGACACCCAGACATAAACCATAACAGAAATGTAGCTCAGTGGTAGAGCCCCAGCCTAGTACCAGGATGCATGAGGTGCTGGGTTCCAGCCAGCACTGCAAATGTTTGTTTTTGTTTTCCAGTGTTATCACCCACTTCTCTGTAATGAAAGAAAATTCAATTGGCTTTCTTTTTTTTTTTTTTTTTTTTTTTTGGTACAGGAAATCAAACTCAGGACCTTGTGCTTGCCAGGCAGGCACTTATGCCACTGAGCTATACCCCTGGCCCAATGAAAGAAAATTCAATAGGACATCTCTTCGCTCCTGAATTTGGTTAAATTATTACAGTCAGTGCTGTAATCAAATGAGGGAATTCTATACAGTTATTAAGAACAATGTGCAGTTATATAAATTGACCTAGAAATATATTAACATGTTAGTGATAAAATCAGTTTACAGTCAGGCATGGTGGTACACATCTGTCATCCCAGCACTCAGGAGGCTGAGGCAGGAGAATTGCTGCCAGTTTGAGGCTGCCTGGACTACATAATGAGTTCAAGGCTGCCCTTACGTAGCGAGACCCTACCTCAAAAAAAAAAAAAAATCAGTTTACAGTGTGATCCGATTTAAAAAAAATACCCAGTTGTGCGAGTGTGAGTACACACACAAGTAATCATGGAGGTTATCTCTGAGAGGGTGGTATACAAGATTTTTAATTTGTGCTTTCAACTTTTTGATATGTAAAGGCTTTACAGTGAATTAATGTTAACTTATCATTAGAAAAACTTTAAGAACCAGTGATACAGATTTAAAACTAGTGGGTTTTACTACTTTATGGGGATTTTTATTTTCACTTATTGAAATTTTTTTCTAGTACTGGGAATTAAACCTTTACACTGAGCTACATTCCCCAGCCCATTTTTTAAATTTTTAAAATTTTTTAAAAAATTTTGAGAGCTAGGTGTGGTGCACACCTGTAATCCTAGAACTT